CTTTTAAAAGAAATTCAATACCTATATATACAGTTTAATGAAAAATATATTTTCATGAAAAACACCTATAATATATAAATAATGGATGTTTTTTACATTGTTATATCATCAAATGAAATCATAAAAATATATATCATAATAATAGACACCAAGCATCTAAACAAAATTTACTATTATTACTCTTCCAGTAAAAAAGTATTGAAATATAAACCATTTATTTCAATTAAAACTAAAACTTATTTATATAACTCACGTTTCTTAAAACGATAGAGTGCATCTACCACTATTTTCAGTTTATTTCAATTCTTTGTTCAATTTTATTTGAAGGAGAATCGATTTTTTATATATCTTAAATATTTAAAAAATCACTTGTAAATAGGAGACAAAGTACAGCGCTGTTCACTTGAATAACCTCACTTGCTTCTTTGAAAAATTATGGATGATATAGAAAGAGCATACCTTTTATTTTTTATTTTTATAGTATTTATTACATACGTAATTGATAATTTTTGACACTAAACTCTTCATTTATTAGTCATGTAAATGTATCAAGGTATTATCACATTGAAAAATCCAATTTTGTACTTTTTTATTCTATTTTCTCTGACACATCAAAGATATTTAAATACTTTCTCAAATTCTCTTTGCCTTCCAAAATTATCAAAACAACTCCATACCAGAAAATTGCATCAATTTTTTTCATCTAAAAAATTATATTTTGCTGTGCAAATTCGAGTCAAACTTCAATATGCCTCTCCTTTAACGCAAATTTTCTTTACATTTTTTTGCATTAGATAAACAAAGAGTTCAACTTCATGTTTAATTTTTTTAAGAAAAACGTTGCATTAGAAACTTTACGGAAGATTAATCTCTTTTCCTTTTTCGTTCTGTTTTTGTTCTTCTTTTATAAATTTTCCCGTAATTTTTAGAGTTTTTAAGGAAAACATTAACATAATGCATGATAATAACATTATGAAAAATAATAGGCATAAAATTTATACACCTAATTCTGTTCTTATGTGAATTCTTTTCACAGTATTTCGATTTAACACGATCATCTAAATTCTAAGGAATTTAGTAATTAATATACATTAATATAAATTATTTCTTCTTAGACCTATAGATAAAGTATTACCGTGATAGAGAAAGTATTAAACACGTGAGACTATTCAAGTGGATACATCTTTTGTTTGTCCTAACACAAGATTATCAAATGTTTGATAAAAATGCGGATTAACATGAATAAGTATCGTCTATGTACCAGTTTGTATTACAAACATGTATTTCAGGGCTAGTCAAGACTGAGAGACAATTGTCCGCGGACAGTCTGCAAACGACGAGAGATAAAACACAAGCCTTGAAATAGTCCGCGGGCAAGTTTTTAGCCTATGCGTTGTTTTCCACCACAATAGAATCGATTAGGAAATAGTAATTTGATGTGGACGTATGAAATTGTTTGTAAACAGTCTATGTACATCGTCTGGCGACGTCGGTTTACTATTCGTAAATGATGTATGTATGTAGACAGTCTACAGACAACATATTTCAGTTTGGACTAGCCTTAACTGATAAAATAAGAATTTAGTATATATTTCCCTCCTTTACTTTAAACTTATATATTTTTATCCATAACTATTGAAGTGAACAGCACTGTACATAAGGATATCTGTTACACATTTGAGAAGGCAGAAATGTAAAAGTAATTTTTAAATTAGTAGAGAATGATTGGGAAAATTTAAAAGTGTTATTTAAAGCAACACTTACAGTCTTTGGTATCATTGTTGAATAGTAATATAAAGAAGTAAGTAGGGATTAATTAATCTTGAAAAATGCATAATTACTTTTCATTACCAAATATTAAAAATATTTTCAGTCACTATTTGTTAAATTTATGTTCTAAAAGTCATAAGTGAACAGTGTATATTGTCATTTTACTGAGTAGGATATATTGCTTTGCTTATGTAGGTGATGATGCATTTTAAAAGGTGTAAAATACAATTTTAGGGTATATTATGATTGAAACTGCCTCTGTAAAGCAACATTACTTTTTGTACATTACGTTATTTTACCTTTTTTTACTATTTCAATATAGAAGTATGATAAGAAAAATATTTTTTATTTTCCTTAATTTCTTAAAATTTTTAGTATAAAGGTTTAAATACTTTACTTTATATACTGTATAATTATATGTATGTATAAAAAATAACGATATAAAGTAATTGAAAAAAGAAAAACATTTAACTCTTAAACGTAGATTTTTAGATAAAATAGAATTTTTTTATACATAATAAATGTTATAATAATATTTCGTATGATCATTCTATGACATTTCAATCATATTTATATCATTTCATAGTTTACTATCATTCATATAAAAATAAGAAAAAAAATTTGAAATGTAAGTGCATATGTATTAGTGAATTAAGAATACCACCAATTATAATTCTATTCAATTATGAGCATTATATTATATTCAGCAAGGCCATGGAATTTGGCACCAAAGTTTATATTGCAACATAGCCAATAACGTTTAGAAAGTACAATGAACTATAATACCAGTAATAATAAAATGTACAAAAGAATGCCTTTCTACTATTAGTATTTTCAGTCAGTGTGAAAAAAAAGGATGATTAAATTTTGAGAACACTTCTCTATAATTGATTCAAGATTGGGATTTTATTAATAAAAAATAATTTTACATCATTACTTCATAGCAATGTTTGAAATGTATATTAAATAACATTTATCTCAAATTAACACTAATCGCTATGGATAAGCAATAAATTAGTTTTATGCCTTGCATTATAATAGTTGAAAAATGATTTAAAGATAAATATTACAGTAAAACATTTGCAATGGTATGGTGTGTAAAATATAAAACCTATGATTGAAAATTACCACAGAAGCAATAAATGAATAATAAGAATCTCGTTTAGAAATAGTGATTTGACATTATATTTTTATGCATCAAACAAAGATTCTTAAAATACTTCAATTATTAATAGCGTAAAGTCAAGAAAACAGACTTTAAAATGATATTATATGATATTATTATTGATAAATTAAAGGCACAA